CATGAAGTACTGCAAAGTATACTGAGTCACGTCTGATTTATATGGTCACTGAGAAAATAACAGAAAAAAGCAGGTGTGTGCTAAACAGTTGAAGCTTTAAAGATATTTCTTTCTATTGAAGAGTCTTTACAGAACTGCCATGGGAAATTATTTTGCAAAATAGTCTTTTAAACAATACTAGAAAAAGCTATTTAAAATCCAGTAATAAATGCCTTCCTATTTGGATTACAGTGATTATGAGCTTTACAATGCAAATACTGTATTTTAAATTATATTCATGTTTCAGAACTACAGTATGCTGATGTGACTATACTCTGTCATTTTCTATATAAAATAAAAACTGAAATTTTAGAAATAGACACAGTCCTCTAATTCAACATTTTTATATTCTATTTATATTATATGAAAATTTATCAATGTGAATAAAAATCCAGTTATTCAAAGAAAAACCAAAAACAGTCCCAGCAAATTTAACTCGAGCACTATAATGCTTTCTGTTGAAAATGGCATTGGTTTTACTCAGCTTATAAGAATGTTATGGTTACAAGTTTATTTTTGGAATATTAAAGATATGAATACAAATGAAATAGCCTATGTGAGGCTGAATCCTTAAGCAAAGGAATTTAGGCTGAAATTATATTAAGATAAATTCTCAGTCTAGATATGGGTTTAAAACATGGAGCTCCAGCAGTTAGCAGAATCTGCAATGTATGTTCTATTAAATCTTAAAATCATAAAGATTAAAAAATAAACTGATTTTCAGAGACATTCTGTGGGGGTGGAGTGGGGAATGGGACCAAAAAACAATGGGGGGAAGGAAATGCACGGGACTATGGTGGTGGCACAGGGGTGATTTGGTGATGGGAAACCCGTGGGGATTACAATTGAGATGAAAAAAAAATGTGCAAAATGATGTAAAAATAAACTTTTTAATAAAAAAAAATGAAGACAGCTTCATTTAAAAAAAAATAAACTGATTTTAATTAAAAAGGCTAAGTAATGAGCTTTAGTATCATGATTTAGTTATAAAAGTTTTACTAGAAAAAGACTTAGAAAACCAGTCTTTTTCCCTTGTTAATAATCCTTACTGGTTTTGGATTGGAGGGGGGGGGGCAAGGAAGGGAGGGAAGGTAGGGGAGGGGAGGGGGAGAGGAGAAGGGAGAAGGAGGGAGAGCGGAGCGAGAGAGAGGGAGAGAGAGATTTAGCCAATGCAACTAGAAAAGTTTCTTAATTTATCTTTGCTTTTTTTTCCTCAGTTGCCATCTAAGTATAAAAATAATTATCTTGTGAAGACTTAGTAACCAGGAGAGTGTCTGGCTAAAAAGTATTAACTCTCTTTTATTAATTAACAGTCGATTCTTTAAATCAGCCTGAATTTCCTAACATTAAAGCAAAATATATTCGTATCTCGTCAGTTTTCCCTGGAATATTATGAATTCTACATATATTGGAACATAACCTTGTCCCAATTAATAACCTAAAGGTATTACATTGTCTCACTAGGTCTTATTACAAATCTGCACATTAAAACTATTCCTCTAGGTTTTCATTTCCTAAGCAGAAAAGAACTCTGAAGTGAATGAACATATTTACCAGTATGAAGTGTTGAGATTTTTTTTCTAATCAGGAGAGAGTAACTGCTCTTTCCCCCACAATCAAAAACCATTGTGAATATTGTATAGTGTATGAACAAATTTATACTATCTTGTCCCATGACAATCACCATGCAATGAATGAAATAATTATGGTTCTTTGATACAGAACATCTTTGTTTTGAAGAAATCATATTTCCTTTTCAACTAAAAATCCTGTTAACCACATAACATTAAAAAACAATACAGTAAGGATTTTTAAAACAAATATCTAATTATTTCTCACTCTAAGTGAGGCATATCCATTAATTATTTAAGTGTTCTCTTTACTTTTCTAGGTCTAGTTCACTCATCCTGCCAATGGACTGAAACTGTCTAGGATGAGAAAACTGCTATAAGAGAGTAGAGGAACTAATTAATTTTAATTAAGGAAAGCACAATTTTACACATACACACACCTTTATCAATCACCAATCTTCATTCTAGTATTTCTAGATGATGCAGAGATAAAAATGCAGATTTAAAACTGCATATGAAAAGCATAGTAAATGGTAAAGACACTAGATTAGAGGTCAGGAAAGCTACTTGCTCATTAACTTTCTGGGACTCAGTGTTAGTTACTGTTAAATAAAGTGGTAGTGTTAAATAGATTTTTTGCACTATGAGTCATAAAAAGAAATTCTCCCTTCATTCTTTTCCTTTAAAAATCAAGTTGGAAAAGTAAGGGACACCAAACTGACCTATGAAGGATTGTGGATATCTTATACTTGAAGGGCAAGTGTTAGAATAGAGAGCTAACTAGCCAGAGTACATGACCCAAAGCATGACTTTCTGATAACAGCAACATCTTTACCCCAGTAGATGTTAAAAAATAAACTTACTCTTTCTGGAATGATCTACATGAAAAATCACAATTGCTTTACGTAGTAATTCTCTCTGTTGGGATGGCATATTCTCCTCCCTTTTCTTTCCCCATCCTATCTCTGAATGCCAAATTGTACAATATTGCCCACAAAATAGAAATTTCCAGTGATATTTTCACAAAGAGTTGTCTAGTTTTCCAGCATTAAAAGCACTCTCTTCAGAACTTAAGTAATACTTTATATCTACTCACAGGTTTCCCAACACTTCCCTCACAAGTTAACACATCCACACTAGATGTGAAGTCTCATCTAGTCAGCTTTGGATTCCCACAAAATTAATAGTAACTTACACAAAAATAAATGTTTAGTAAATAATAAAAAACAAAAGTCACAAACTTTCACTTAAAAGATTTTAAAGCCCCATGTTCTTAAAATACAAAATAAACCCACTGTTTCTATTTACACTTTAACTATTTTTTTTTTTCTTTTGCTTCTTTTCCACTCCACTTCCTACAGACCAAGAAAGACCACAGCTGCCACCTCAGGTCTTAAGAAAGTCATTTCTAGAGCAGTTACTCTATGTGCAAAATAAAACCAAATGATAAAATAACAACTAGCTCTATGAATTTATTTTAATCAAATGAAAAAGCTTGCTAGAAAATTCAATGGATAACCCTGTCAAATAATTTCAAAATAATAGTGATTAAAATTACCAATAGTTTTTTAACAGTTGCCTATTGTCAAACCATCTTTTATCAGAAATACTACCTAATTTTGCAAGCGAGATAAGGTTTAGTACTTTAGTGATGGGGAAAAAAGTTTCACTTATGTCTCCTGACTATGAAAATTAGTTACTATTCTATTTTCTAATTTATTGTAGAATATCACTTGTTCAAACAATGACTTAAAATTTGCTTTTTATGTGAACAGCTAAACTGAAGTTCCCCAGGGAACATTGCTATTTAATTTCTAACTAAACTTATACTTTAAAAACAAAATTGCGAACTCCCGTTACAATCATCAGGATTAGCTGTATAATTATTTATGCTAATAAGAAAAATTTTGCATAAGAAAAGGTAATCATATCTGCTGAAAATGTATTTTCTACATATATACAAATATCTCTTTAAATAAACTTGAAGAGTTCTCTGTTTAAAATACTTATCATCTTTCTGCAAAGATTAATTTTTCCTAAATTAGTCAAGGTGGGCAATTTGTTACATTCCCAAAAGAATCACAACTATAATTTTTAAAGCAATATCCCAGTAGATACCAAGATCACTGTAAAGTAGCAGGGGTGCGGGGAAAGGATTTGCATTATATTCACTGCAGTTAATGTCTACAATTTTTGTTAAGTGATACTTTTTTGAAAGTGTTATACCTTTACCTTGCAAAGGAAGTATAAAATTTCACAAATAAACTTCTTAATTTGAGGACTCCCTATAGAGACTGTCAGTATAAATGATCTGATATAGTTTTCAAATAATAAGTGAAATCTGATCCCTCTTGTGACCAGTTCAAGTTTGTCTAGGAGCCCACTTAAACTTATTTGTTGATATTGGATACTGCTGGATAATTCCAAATTCAAACAAGGATTTTTTATAAATTATATATTCAATAGGGATACACAAGCTTTGAAAATCACAGAAAAAGAAATTTTCATATATATGAATTATACTTAATCTATCCTTTGTGCTTGTGCTTTAATTTTTTATAAAAAATATAGTAGCAGTCATAACAGATAAAACCAAAGGTTCAGGCAACATTTCTATTATTATAGTTCTAATAAACTTGTTTTTTAAAAAATTAACTCTTTTCAATTCTAAAAACATCAATGCCTGAAAAGTTAACACGTTTTCCACATATTTCACTGAGCTATTTCAGAAAATATTCATAAAAAATATGTAAAAGATTTCAAAACTAATTTAATACATCACTTTCTTAACAAAATACTCAAAAAATATATACTTGAAATATTAAAGTATTTAACAAACATGTTTACCTTAATTATTTTAAAATATAGATATATATTTTATAGATATAAAGTAGGATAGAAAGATATAAAGTAGGAATTTTAATCACTACTCTTAAGTATATTTTTAGTATATGTACATATGTGGCATATATACATATGTGGCCAGGAACCTATCCTCTAGACTTAATTAATAATTAATATCAATATATAATATTTAGCTTTGCTTTGTAGACGTGTAAATCAGTAGTAAAATCATATTCAGGAAAAATTACTACAGAAAAAGCTCTCTGACTTTAAAGTTATGACTTACTCATATTTGGAATTGCATAAAGTAGACATACTAGTTACTCAAAACAGCAGTTAAATTGATTATTCATTAATAAAGCAAAGGAAGGCCCTCCCTGGTGGCGCAGCGGGTTAAAGCACAGCACTGAGAATCCAAAGCCGCTTCGGCATGAGTTCGATTCCCGCCTGCCCCGGAGGTGACCACATGGCGTGGCAGACCTCTCCTGACCCGCCCGCTGCTCCCCTCAGCAGTTGCCTGTTCTGCTCCCCACTCTGTCTCTGGTGAATCCTCTCACCCTCTGCATCTCTGGCCTGTACCCCAGTTCTGTATGAATAAATAAATCTTAAAAAAAAAAAAATCTTTAAAAAAAAAAAATAAAAAATAAAGCAAAGGAAAAACTTTCTTGGAATTTTAATACTTCTAATAAGAAACAGAATACAAGTAAAGAAAATAACAAATATTGTTACTGAATTTGGATGTTTATAAATAATCTGAAATTAAAAACTTGCTCAAAGAATTCACTTTGCAGGGCACAAAAAACAAATTTGTCCTACCAGTCCCTTGACAAAATGAAAGTTAACTTTTTTAATTGTCCTAGGAAAGACCAGTCTAGGGATTATGCAACAGCAATGTAACAAACGAAGTCAGTGCTTCCAGACTGAAATGCAGAGCTGATCAGCTTGGAACCTGAAAGTAGCAGTTCACATAAGACACACATTTTATCAAGACTAATGAAAACACTGCTTATCTAGACTTAAATCTGTCTGATTTTCTAGTAACTCACTTAAAGTGAATATTATAATTGTAGAGGAAACTTCCAAAGAAAAGCAGTAAGAATAAAAGAATTATGAAGGTGATTCTGACATACTTACAGATCCCAGGAGAAATAAAATTGGAAGCCCGATTCCAAACTTTTCTCCTAAAATGTTCACAGCAGATAACAGCTGGAAGGCTTGTGGGCCAAAGTTTTGTAGTGTCTCTTCTGAGTCATCAAATAAAGTGCAATGATCTAATCTAAATAAAAATAAGTGTGTTTAAAAACAAAAAGTGTAGCCAAGACATGCAACCTTATAAAGGAAAAGACTTAGTGTAGCAATTAGTTAATTACAAAATACCTCATATTTCCCAACTGCTTTCAAAGCTAAAATAAAGTATATTACAGTCAATAGCAGGTGAAAATCTAAAATATGAAATATAAACTATAATACAACATCATAGATATGTTATGTTCATAGATGTCAATGCTTCTGCCCTAGAATTTATGTTCTAAGAGGTAGATTGGCTCATAGTCAGAAGAGAAAAAAGTTGAAACAACTGAAGTGGAAGATTAGAATTCAAAGATCTCCCCTTGATCAATATTCATTTTTGTTAGGTTTTAGTGGAAGGAAACATTGTTATAAAAATAGCATTGTACTTAAAAAAAAAAACAAAACCCTATCTCTTATGCATTAAATTGCTTAGGTTTATGTAAAGTGGGGCTGTATTTAGGTTTATTCTCCTTTTCTAATTTCTGTAGGATTAGTTTTCTTTTATAAAGTTCTCAAATTCCCTCAAAATACCACCAATACCCTGCAAGTTTTAATATGCATTACTGTAATATGACTAAGTTCTAAAAGTGTTTTCATTTCCAGTTTGATTTTTTTCTTTGATTAATGGATTATTTTAAATTTCCAAAGAAATGAGATTATTTTTTGTCTATTCTCTTATATACTTCTAACTTAATTGCATTCTGGGGAGAAAACATAGAACATATGATACTATTAACTGTAAACTTTTTAGATACAACACACTCTAGTACAGGATCAGAATGCTTTCTATAAAGGACCAGAGAGTAAATTATTTAGGTTTTGTGGACCAACAACAACCCAATTTAATCTCTGCAAAAATAGCCACAGATAGTATATAAATAAATGGGCATGTCTGTATTCCTAGAAAACTTTATTTTAAAAAAAAACAAAGGGCAAATAGATAGGTACAGAGGCTCCAGTTTGCCAACTCCTGCTCTAAGACATAGACAATGTTTATAAAAATCCCACCTATGTATGTTTGGGAAGTGCAGTCTCTTAACTCAATGTTTCCAGGGTGCAGCAAATGGATTATAATGTGCTGAAAGGTCAGTCATTTCAGACCTCAGGATTCTGGACAGAAACTAAACTCAATTAGCCTAATATGTTTTGCTATGTGGATTGTGAAGCAAAAATATTTGAGACACATTGCTCTAATTGCTTGGTAGAGGGTTCTGTACTATGACTCAGATAAATCAAAATTATTACTATATTGAGCAAATTTTCTATTGCTTACTGAAGAATAAACTAGATAACACTAGAATAAAGAATCAGAGCGAATATCATATAAACAGAATTTATATATTTTCCATAACTAATTGGTAGTTTAACTTACTAATTACTAAAAATTTTATCAAATTCTCCCATATTTACAGTGAATTTGTTAACTTCTTCCAATTCTGTCAATTTTTGTTTTATATATTTGTAAGATGCTTTTATTTTAAGTTGGGTAAGACAATTCTGCCTCCCTGGTGAACAAGCAATTTACCACTGCATGGAGAACATTCCATTCCTAAAAATATTTCTTTTGTTAATACAGTGACCACATTAAGGTAGATAGCTAACACAAGGTACAATGTTTTTATTTTATTTTATTTCAATTAATATAATTAAATTGATTATGTGTGCATGTATGAAGTTCTATATATTGTAATAAACAAAGTCATATACATAGTTTCAGTTAACCACAATGAGGACACAAACACATCCATCACTGCTAAATTCAAAATAGTGGTAAAAGCACAAAGGACTATGGTAATGGATCATGGGTACTACTGCAGTGGAAGAACTATAGAGACTATATGTGAAGGGAGAAATCAAATACTGAGAAAAATTAACAATGATGTAAGGAAATTAATATGTTTTAAATAGTACAAAACAATACACTATGAAAAAGAAGATACTCCTTCCACTATTAATCTGTAACTCTGTTGTTCCCTCCTACAAAGGTAACCACTGATCTTTCATTACTACAGTATACCTATGTCTGAGGAAATATTACAAATATAAATAATAATAATATCAATATAATTATAAATATAAATGGAATCATATTATAGAATGGTGTTATTTCTTCTTTTAAATATTTGGTAGAACTTGTTGAAACCATTTGTTTTTTATGTCTTCTTTTCATTAACTCATGCTCCTATCTTTATTATTTATTTCCTTCTGGTGCTTTCTAGTTTACTTTGCTTTGCTCTTATTTACTTGTTTCTTATGGTGAAAATCTAACATGCCTTGAAATCTTTCTTTTGTTATAACTTTTAATGCTTTACATTTCTCTTTCAGTAGTGTTAGCAGCATCCTATTCATTTTACATTTTCATTGCAGTCAGTTCCAACCATTTTCTGATGTACCTTGAAACTTCCTCTTTGACTCAAGGATTTCTTAGTATTTTATTTCATTTCTATGTGTTTGGAGACCTTACCATTATGTTGCTGGTGTCTAGTTAATTCCATAGTAGTTAAAAAACATCCTTTATATGAACGCAATTCTTTTAAATTTGTTAAGGTTTGTTTTATGACTAAGAATATGGTTTATGCTATTAAAGTTCTATCTACAATTGAAAATAGAACTAACAAAACCCTGCCTGATGCTGTTGCACAGAGGGTTCTATAAGTCAACCAGATTTAGTCATTGATAATACTGTTCATGTCCATCTTTTGACTGATTTTCTATTAATTCTATTAATTACTAACAGAAGTACTTAAATAATTACAGCTGTAATTGTGCATTTTTCTATTTCCCCTTTTAATGAAGTTAGTTCCTTTGTTAAATATATACACAGGATTATGTGTTCTTGAATGATAGTTGACTTGTGTGTCAACTTTTCTAGGCTGTGGTCCACAGCTGCTTGATCAAGTAGTTTTTACCCTTTTATTTTTAACCTACCTTTGTAATTATGCCTATAGTGGATTTCTTGTGGACAGCATATACTTGGATCATATTTTTAAAACAATTCTGACAATTTATGCCTTTAAAGGTTTTTTAAAACCAATCACATTTTATTATTATTAAATATTGAAATGTTTAGATTTGGGTCTATTATTTCATTGGGTTATCTACTCATAAAACGAAATACTGTATTATTTGCTTTGTCATCTAAATAATAAATCCATTCTTGTGATTTAAAAATGTAATACATAAAAATTAAATGAAAAGAAAAAGAAAACAGGCATTTAGAATGTCCATCTATAAAAAGAAATCTTTACCTGGACCTGCAATTATCACAGCACTTTTCAGTTCCCAATATACCCAAAGAGGCCTTTCGGAGTTGTTTATCTTCAAAATGAGACAAGATGATTCTACCCAAGAGAAAATTTTAAATTAAATAAAAGTACAAAAATGTATACGTTAAATTCATTGCTTAAAATAATGAGATGAAATCATCATTGATTCACTTGAGAGACTTCATTATTTCACTTTATTTTACTAACACACAAAGAAAGTTACCTTAAAAATTCAGCATACATATAATACCAACAAAATATTGTTTCTAAATACTTCTAATTAGCCAAGCTCTTTCTTAAAAGATCACCATCCTCAAATCTATATCACTAGTTGATATAAAACAATACATACCGTCGCCTACACTTCTTAGAATGAAGATATTTTTCCATCTTCATCATCATCTTTAATTTGTACAATCGAAAGTTTTCATTTTGTATCCTACCAAGGCGAATCCTATTAGAGATATTATAGAAACATTTAAAATTATCTTAGCAATTTTGTTACTTTTCATTTATTATTGTTTATTTTTATAGCTTATAACATTCACACCCTTATCAAGATAACACTGCTATCATTTCATAAAGCTATTTGTCCTTCCCAGTCAATGCTCTCCATTAGAAGCAAACATTTCTGATTTACTTTTTACATATTACTTTGAATTCTACCTATGTCTAAAGATCAGTTTTTCAGTTGCTTTTGAAAAAATATTATAAACCCTAAAATGTTTCATTTTGATTTATATGCAGTATAAATAAATATTTTTTAATTTATATATACTTTTGGGTACTTTTCTGAATCTATATGATTTTTTTTTTTTAAAGAACTGGGGTAAAGGCCAGAGGCTCAGGGACGGTGAGAGACTTCACCAGAGACAGAGTAGGGAGAAGAACAGGCAGATTGACGAAGTACACTGCTGAGGAGAGCAGTGGGCAGGTCAGGAGAGGTCTGCCACGCCATGTGGTCACCTCTGGGGCAGGTGGGAATCAAACTCATGCAGAAGTGGCTTTAGCTTCTCAGTGCTGTGCTTTAACCGGCTGCGCCACCAGGGTGGGCTTGAATTTTTAATTTATCACAATAAAAGATTATTTTTAAATTTATTTTGTATGAGGAACTAAGAACATCTATGTAAGGAATGCTGAAAGTGATTCATCATCCAACTATGAGACTTCATTCATATTAACTCTTCAAAGGACTACTCAGTTATCTAAAATCTGTATTATGGCACACTAGTAAAGTAGCAGAATTAAGTCACTTCTTCAAACAATTATTACTGATCTTTTTCATGATACTAAATTTACTTAAAATGTTAAGCAAAACTTAAGACAGGTTTGTTTTGTTTCTTAAGTCATTAACATTATGTCACTTATCCTGTTAACTCTAGTTTTATTAAAAAAATATCATGTCCCAAAAGTAGATGACTGGATTAGAAAGATGTGGTACATATATACAATGGAATATTACTCAGCAACCAAAAAGAGAAACACATGTCTTTTGCAGCAACTTGG